CTCGGGACCAGCGGAGGGGACTTTACGGCTGAGTATGAGCCAGGCTGCTAGGAGCCAGGTACCCCCACGCCTGCAGTCCGCGCGCCGTCCCCGGAATGCGAGCTGGACGCAGGGTTCTCCCAAGTTTCCACCGAGCCGAATAAAAAGCGTCCGCCCGCAGCTCTCCGCCAAAGACTGACGTTGACTCCAGGTAAGGCGGCGCAGAGCGCAGGGCGCAGCGCCCCGCAGCCCCGCTGCCCTTGGAGCCCTCTCCGGACCGCATTCGGGGCTCCTTCCCCTCCCCCTCCCAGCACCCTCGTCTGTTCTCCCCGCAGCCTCCAATTCCTCGCGGGTTCCGGGCAGAGGGGAGGGGGTCCCTGGACTCTGGGGCGCCGAGGGTTAAGTGTGGGTTTTGGTAAGTGGCGTGTGTGCCGGCGCGTGTGCCCCCGCGCGCTCCCGACGTGTGTACCATGGTGGGAACTTGATGTGGTCGTGTGTGTCTGCGTGTGCGGCGTCTCTGGCGCTTATGCGTGCGTGTGTGTGTGTGTGTGTGTGTGTGCGTGTGTGTAGGGGGGGAAGAGAGGTCCTATAACCTACTTAGCGCGAGATGTGTGTGCATGTTTGTACGCATGTGTTTGTATGTGTGTGCTTGTGCGTCTTAATTAGGTCTCTCCAGCTCACGCGAAATGGGACCCTTACTAAAGGGTCACGTAGCCTTTGGGAAATCCGCTGTGGACTTTCTCTCAGGGCTGTGGGTTTGGGATTGAGGGAAATGAAGGGGATATGGATGACATCTTATTTAGCCCAGTGTTGGTACCCTTGAAGGAAAATTCCTCCGAACGATGGAGTCCTGCTACACACACTTGGACCCAGCGTTTAATATGAAAGGGAAATGACCAAACCTTGAGGCAGAGGAGAGGATGCTGTCTCTTTAAATTCCACACTGGGAAGACTCCAGGATTCTGATGGGAATTGGGAGACTCTGGGTAGCCTGTGAAAGAGAAAGGGGGAAGTCGCCTGTGGGCTTCTTATCAGGGGATTGGCAAGTCTGGGATGGAGGTCTGCCCGGTCTCTGTTTGTAATCACAGCGGCACCTCATGCCCCTGGTGTTTTTGGGGAGAATCTAAGCAAGTTTGCAGGATTCCGCTTGGGGAAAGGAGGAAGTGTCATGTGGGATTTGCTCGCCCTTTACAGCTGCATAGGGTCTCAGAGGAAATTTCCCGAATTGCGAAGAAGACCGACGAAGCACTTCCGCAGGAGAGGTCCTTCTTTCCTCCCTGTCTCTGGCAGGTTTGCAAAGCCCCCAGGGAATCTCTTCCAGAACTGTGCCTTCTCATGGCTTCCTGGAGTTAGGATACTGGGAAAAGGCAGAGAGATGGTGTGTGTGTGTGTGTGTGTGTGTGTATACTTCAGATGTACAATTTATGAGGGGACCATGGGTGGGGGACCCGCGACAGAATGTGGCAGTAATTGACTTAAACTGCTGTGTGACTTGCACCTCCCTTTTCTTGCTTGGCTGCAAAATACTGCCAAGGGCAGACGGGCCCGGGGAATAATCTCAGAAAGACAGTTTGGGTTGAGGCCCTCTTTTCCAAACCCTTTTAGGAGCCTGCCCTCTTTCCCTTTGCCACCTATTTTGGGATCCTCTGTAGGTAAGTCCTTTGGCCAACCTGGCTATGTACGATTGGGATTGAGCTCTGGGGCAGCCATTGATTTGATTCCCAGCTGCCTGTTACAGGCTTGCCGTACTCAGCAAAAATGCTGAGTTTTACTGCTGTTAGCATGGCTTCCAGACTCGGCAGCTGGTACTTTCTCAAGGTAAGCGGCAGACATCCTCCCGGGCAGTGAAGCCAGGGAAAGACAGGGCTGAGATGCTGGGACGTGGCTTCTTGCCTACCACAGCTTAAAGGGACCACTTAAACGGCATCTTGTGAGGGAAAAAGGTAGACATACTTAACTTAAAAATTATTTGTATATGCATGTATTTGCAGGAACCTGCCCTGGCTGGTGCGTGAGGTTCTACCTGCAGGCACTTGCAGACATACCAGTCCCTGGCCAGAGGCTGCTGCCTCTGGCTGGAGCCTTTACACAGCTGGCCACAAATTGACCATTACAGCAAGCCACGGTTAGAGTGAAGCTTCCTAGTTCATTTTGGGTAGGGGGCGTGAAGGTAGTGGAGACCTCATGTTGAGACCTGCTCTCATTTTCCCTCTTTCCCAATCCATAGATGATCGAAGCTGGAAGGAATATTAAAGAACAGGCAGGCAACACACTGGGGCCCAGAGAGGAAATGAAAATTCTTCAGCATTCTCTAGCAAATTGGTGGCATGCCCAGGACACAGCCCACATCTCCCATTGGTCAGATCAGTGTCCTTTTACTCCACCACCTTGTCCAGGAACTATAAATTGTTCCCTACCCCTGCCTCACCACCCTGCTCCCACCCAAGATAACCGATTGTCTTCCCTTGTCAAACTTCTCAATTCAGGGATTTGTTTCAAATCTTTTCCATCTGGAGACATGACCCCAGAGAGAAAAAATCCAATGTCTCACTTACTCTACGGGACACACACACACACACACACACACACACACACACACACACACTGCAGATTCATGTCTGATTATTGTGCACAAACTAATACCGAAGGACCCAGTACTGACTATGACTGGTAGGCAGAACCTATCAAAGCATCTGAGCAGTATCTGAAGGGCTTATATAGAAAAGCTTTGCTTCTCATAGAGCAAAATATACACCCACCCATAGATGGATGCAGATAATTTAAGCAAATGAATCCCTTCAAATTAGACTCTCACTCCTATAAATGAATTCATATTGCAGACCAGAGTATATGTAAGCACAATACACACATATACACATGTGTGCACACCGATCCAGAAGCCTTTTCTACTGGCCGTGGTCCCCCAAAGAGGATTTCAACCTTGGGGCCAAATCGAGTTCTCATAGAAAGGCACTGCCCGTAAGATGGCTGGGACTAGAAACCCCTCTGGCTCAGAGGCCCTTGAGAAATGGGTTTTACACTCACTCAGAAGTGTGCTCCCCGTCTTCTTGGTGCTCTTTTTCTGGTGCAGGCTGGTACTTAGAAGCTTGGGGGTTTTAGGCCCAACTGCAATAAAGTCTTTTCTACTCAGGCTTTTCCGGGGCTGGCTGGCACTTGAGTTCCCAGAAGGGGGAGCTGTGACTCCATTTCAGCCAAGGAGAAACAGCTCAGAGATTCCAAATCAGCTGTGGGGCCCCTGAGGAGTTTAGGAGGCCCAGCTCAGTTTGCAGTGAATGTATTTGTAGCAGTACAGGTGGGGATGGTAGAAACCCTCTGCACTGTTCAGTTCGCATTACATCTAGCTGTGACTCCATTTCAGCCAAGGAGAAACAGCTCAGAGATTCCAAATCAGCTGTGGGGCCCCTGAGGAGTTTAGGAGGCCCAGCTCAGTTTGCAGTGAATGTATTTGTAGCAGTACAGGTGGGGATGGTAGAAACCCTCTGCACTGTTCATCTCAAGCATTACATCTCCTTAGTATTTTGCAAAGTTTCTTACTGACCCAAAAGTCTTCTCTCTCACTGAAAAAGGTATTGTTGCTCAAAGATCTTTCAGTTGTGTGATTAGACATTTTCTGATAGCATCCTCTCTCTTCTCGCTCCCAGCTTTTGAGATGAAATCACCAGTGTATATCACCTACACAGGTCACTCAGGTTAGGTGTACCTTACCCTTCATCTTGCCCTGTTTCCTCTTAAGGCAGGTAGGGGTTATGTGATGAGGGCACATTTTCAAATGTCATTCCTATGCCCTCCATCATTGTTTTCAATTCTGATCTTTCACTATTAAGGATAATGAATGTCTTTATCGCTTTCTGTCATCTCTCTCTCTCTTTCTCTCTCTTTGTTTTTTTGGTAAAACCTTACCCATATTTTAACATCCAGCTCAAATACCCTTCCAAGAAGTCTTCTCACACCTCATATTGGAATTAATCTCCATCTCTCTTATTTCTATGCAACTTTTTCTGAAGTGCTGTTTAGCTCTGTTTTATAGCTCCATGGGTATTGGTCTATCTTATCCTTTTTGATATGTTCTTAGGAGCATCTTTGTGTCCCTGGGGATAGACACATAGTAGTTGGTCTATAAAGGTTTGCTTTTAGATTTCATGTCTACTCTCAGCAGTAGTTGTCATCTCTCTTCCACTGACTCTCATTCTTTCTCTCTGACAGTTGCTTCAAGTTTTCTCAAAGCATTGCTATTATAGCATCAAGATCACACCACGTATACCAAAAATGTAAGGGATGTTGATGATCTAGGCAATAAGTAAAGTCACATCCTCCCTCGAAGACAACGCTGCCTCTCACTGTGCTCCAGGATCTTTAATTTTGTTCTCTCCTTTACGTTCTCTTCTCACTTGGTAAGGCACTTACAGCCCCTGTTACATAAGAAGAATGTGAAACTCCTGCTGGTTAGGTCCCTTGCCCAAAGTCACACCACCAGCAGGGTGATAATTTATGCCTACGTCCCCCTTACTTGAATACCTCTGCTCATTTAGTTCATGCATGGCCAAGGAAACTGAGTTGTTCACTAGATGCTAGAAATAGCTGGGCATATTATAACTCTTTAAAGCTGTCACGGAACCACTGGATAATAAATTCTTTGTTTTCCTTCAGAAGTTTCTCTAAAGAAATTTCAGCAGATTTTCCCATAACCAAATCTTTCTCTTTATTCATGAGTCAAAAGTCTGTTGGGTTATATACATAGTACCTGGCTGCTCACTCACAGATTTAGTACTTTTACTGACTGAGTTTCCTAACACACAAATCAGCCTATGTTGTATTTCGAGAGCTGCATTGGGATATTTTGCTATTTTGACCCCAAATTTACTTTCTATCCGTAAGTCCCTAAAATCACATAAATAGAATTCTCTCCCAGTTCTTTACATATTATTAAAGCATGGTCATATTATCGTAAGTATTCTCCACAGCCATGTCTTCTGCACCATTTATGTGGAGGCCCCTTACCATGCTGGATGCTTTCCTACTTGCATCCTCCAGTTTATCTCACTTTTAAGGTTTAGGAGCCACAAAGAGTAAAAGAGACAATGTGAAATTGAAGTGAGGACTAAAAGAAAGTATTTTCTCATTCAGTCATTCAACAATTATTTAAACATTGCTCTGGGTCAGTGCTGTCAAATAGAACATTCTGGAATATTC